GCCTCCTGGGGCTTACTCACCTCCTCAACAACGCAGCGCGGACAAAGCCATTCACCTGATAATGGAATGGGATTAGTTTTAAATGCGATAAGTTGTAGCTGCTGGTTGCTCTTACCTTTGGGTATGCTGGTCAAGGGCGGCAGCAGACAGAACGTGTGGTAGCTGTCGTCGCAGCCATCGCACAGCAGCATCGATTCTTCAACATCGCCGCGATTGCAGATGTGGCAAATGTACTTCATCAGTGGATCAATTAATGGCGGAACAGCTGGCGTCGGTTCGTTGTTGGTCTTGGTCTTGTTGGGCCCGCCGCGGCCAGCAGGTGTGCCGCCAGCAGGCATGCCACCGCCTTGCACAGCATTGAAGCTGCTCAGAAGATCGCGCTTGAAGTCCTCCTTTGTCTCCGTTTTGATGACCACACCACCCACAGACCCATCCTTGCCACAGGATGCGCCGCCTGCCAGGCCGCAGCTGGCAGTCGAGTTGCCAAAGCGCTTGGAGCGACGTGTGTTCGTCTCATTGGGCGGTGCGATCTGCTGACGTGTGGCTATCTCGTGGGCCTTGTACTCGGTGCCCACATCTTCGAGCTTTACTGGCGTGGGCGTGCCGCTGGCTGTGGCTGCGGCAGCTGCTGCAGCTGGACCCAGAACCTTGCCCGAGGTGTACACCTCGAAGGGATGGAGAATGCGCTCGTAGTGGCTCTTCAGGGTAGCGCCAACACTCTTGCTGGATGGATACTGCATACGATTGGCCACCTTCGCCCACTTGCGGTCCTTGGTGGTCTGCTCCATGCCGCCCTCCTCGTGCACAATGCGATGGAGGGTGTACAGATCGAGGGCCTTGCGCTCCACCATCGGGATCTTGAGGGAGGAGCCTTGCAACTCCCAAAACTTGGCGATTTGATCCAGGAAATTGAGCTTCACCCTGGTCTTAGCCTCCAGCTCGTTGAGCCGCTGAACACGCGGCACAAAACGCAGCTTGTCCACATCCACGGCAAACGATGGCGACCATGTCGCCGGCGGCTGGATCTTGGCAATGCCATGCTTCTCGGCCACCGATCGAATCTTGCTGATGTAGGCCAGCGGATTCTTGAATTCCTCTATAGTGGGCCGAAACACGGGGCACTCGGGCGGCGTGTCAAAGTGAAACTCCTCATTCTTGCCCTGATCAAACTTATTGCTGCTGTGCGGCTGCGTGTGCACCGTCTTCTTGTGCACTGTAGGCGTGGGATGGGGACAGCTGTTGTGGTACTTCCTGCTCGCCGACACACTGCTGCTGGCATGGTTCATGGGAACGCTTGGCATTGGACGTTCCGTTGACGCAGCCGGCGAGGGGCCATGGCCACTGGCGGCCGAAGCAGCAGCTGGTGTTGAGGGTTCATCGTTTGGATTCGATTTCTTGCCGGATTCACTGCCGCTTGCCGGACCATTTCCCGTCGAGTTGCGTGTGCGAAGACGACGAGCCGGTGTGGCGGTTCCGTTCGAGGAGGATGTGTTTCCCGATCCCCCGCCGCCACTGCTGCTACTGTTGCCACCGCCGGAGCTGGCAGCCGTGGTATTGTCCGCCTCGGTTTTGGCGGACATCGCTCTAATCTGATTTCAGTTGAAAATTATTGTGTTTGGCTCTGAAAAAAATCAAGTTAACGAATAAGCAATTGTTGTAGTTAAGGCCTGTTCGCTTTAAATGCTGAAACGATTTATGCTAGAGTCTAGTTTCGGCTGTTTTAACTTTTTTTTTTCTATATTTTGTTCCTGGGGTTGAACATCCACTCTTTCCTCTCCCCGCAACGTTTTATTGATATGGCAACTCTGTGGCTGCGTCTTTTCAACTGTTTTTTTTTTTCATTTACAACTATAGTTGCAAATATGTATATTTACACACACACACGCTTCTTTTGACAGAGATACACACAAACAGTGGTTTCAATTAGCATTTACTGTCAGTTTTTTTTTATATTAAACATACAATTTTCAATTACACCTTTATCTTTGGTATTACTCCAATTTACAGGCAGTGAAAATCTTCCATTATAACCTGTGACCCACTGTATATACATCAAACTACTTACACACAGTCACGGTTATATAGGCACCTCTATACATATATTTCATGTACATAATAAATGTACTCAACCCTCGCCCTACAGCGGCCGAGGCAGGTAAACCAATATTTACGGAGGACAGGACAAGTGCATTTTCGTTGCAGCACCGTTATTACTCCCTCTAATGTTCGTCGTAAAATCCGAACCAGTGTTGTCAAATGTTAGCATGATCGAAGAATAGGATAGGTAAATTGGAGGGGTGAGACGCTCTGCTCTGACGTTCGTTGACAGTCTTCATTTTGTTGTTAGCTATCTCCATCCCTCATCCGAGTCTGTTCGATTAGCAGGAAAGGGTGGAGAGGGGAGTATGCGCCAGCGATTGAGCAGCAAAATACTGAATTTGTTGCATACAAAAGTGGAGCACCAGCACTCCCAACACAAACAAAACACCCCTCCCTCGCCAGGCCACGGGCACGGGGCGGCATGTGAGTATGTATAACATAGCGACCGATAAGCTCACAAATTCAATATGCCTTTACATGTAAATGTACATGGATGTAGATGAAATGTATTAAGGCAAAACAAGCATCCACTCCGCGACAGGACATACATAAATATATACTACATACTTACACCAGTGTGTACGTATGTATGTACATATGTATTTCGCTAGGTGAAAGTAAATCTTTGCGAAATTTGAAATGGCTGTGACGAAATTCTAAATCGGAAATGAAGCCATATTGAAAAACGTCAACTTGTTTGTCTTCTGAGTTCCGGTTAAGGTTTTTCAGTTTAGTTTTTTATTTTAGTAACTAGACAAAAGGCAGCCGCCGCCAGTCGTCAATGAGCTTTGGCTTTGGCTGTGGTGGTTGTTGTAACACACAAACACAAAGAGGAACACACACAAATGTGGGGCGCACCGCACCACCCAGCAGCATAGCATGCGAAAAAGGGAGTAAAAGTGGGTGGGGGAGTAGAGTCGATCAGGAAGAGCCCGTCTGCCTCTCCCTCTCCTACGCTTGCTCTCCTAGAGAGGAGCGGCGAGTACCGTTTTTTGTGTATCAAGTGAGCAAAGTACATTTGAAGCGACTGCGACGTAAGCAGCGACGCCGCATGCTGCGTTTGATTTTCGTTTCTGGGGGATAATGTTCCCCCTATTTGAAAATACTCTTGATTAATATCGAAGATTATTAATTACCGGACCTTTTGGGCCCAAACCTTTAGAATTTCACACAAACAGCTGGCCGCAAGCCGAATCTGTTATTTTCTGGTTTATTGATCGTGTGGATTGGTTGGGATAGGCAGAAGTAAAGCCTAAGCCGAAAGCTTCTTTTATATAATTTCCATTTTCAGCCTCACAGCACACACACACATGCACGCACTTAGCTTACACAGGCATAGACGACACACAGAAGTCCGTATGTGGATATACACAGGTATACAATTATATACACACACCGTTGTGTTTTCTCTATACATAAATATGTATGATTTTTTTATATTTTTTTTTAATAGCGAAATTAGCTCTAAAAATCATGTTACTTTTTCCAATGCACACACACACGCACGCACGGGGCGCACTTAAACACTCGCTCAATAATTTATTGCAGCTCAAGAGAGCGTGTTGCCAACACCAACACCAAAAACAGTAACAACAATCGTTGACGTTGTGATTTTACGCATTTGCTCTGCCATATTGCACATTAGAGGCAGAAGGAAAGAAGAGAGTTGAGTTGGTTCATTTTGTTTCGATTTGTTCAAAAGTAAATGCAGCACTGTACTTTTCACAAAAGTTTACTTATCCCATTACATTTGTTACTCGACAAATATATGTGTGTATATTCTCCTTACAATCAGCGGCATTATTTTAAGTTTTCAAGCGTGGGGGATCACAATATTTCATTTCCTTTTTTCGTCTTTTTTTTTGCTATGATGGCGACCACGGCAGCGACGCAACGCACTTTACAGCGCTGTCGAGCTGCTGCTGCTAGCGTATGTACATATGTATGTAATTCATGCGCCAGATACGCGATTCACATAATTTTGCTTGCTTGACTTTTACACTGTCCGCCACGCAGCTTTTTTTTGTTCTTTGCAACTTGGCAGAATCGTACCATTGTTATTATTAGATGAGTTTTCACTTTTTATTACAAATTTTTTCGGCAGTAAACTCCGTTGCCAGCACGGGAGAACACACACATACAAACATTTTTCTTTGATTAAATGCGGGGGGTTGTTCGCCCTAAGGGCCATTACAGGGCTTATAGTAACAACTTTTCTTACATTTTTCGCTGAATTTCCTTCATGTATGTCGGCTATTTCAAGTTAGTGTATTCATTTTCTTCTGTTTTCGTTGCTAATTAAACATTTTCATCCATCAGTAAATCTTAAAAACTCACTCACGCACACACTGATACACTTGCAGTGGCTAAGGAAAAACTCACTGTCGTCATGGGTAGCAAACCCCGAGCACGTTTGGCAAAACGAAACAAACTGTATGTTCCAGAAAACCACCGAGCACAGCACTTGCAAACTTGATTGAATATGTATTTATTTTGTTAATTCTTCCGTTTTGTCTGCGTTTTTTCCTCCATGTGTCGATTGGGTCTCTCTACATCTCGAAATTATCGGATATACCGTAATATACCAGAAATGTATTAAATATACCATAAATCATGTGTGCTGTGTGAGCGAACTTAACCCACTTGGACTCCCTCTCTTTGAATAAGGTGATTATTTCTTCTTGTGGATCCTTCTTCTTAACTTATCAAAAAAACTGACCACTGTATGTTCCTTTATTTCACTCCCACTGCATACCCTTCCTAAAATGTTCTGATTGCAAAACTACCTGTCCAACCTGTCCAAGTCACGTCCAGTGGAATACGGCCATAAACATATATTTTCCAAATCATTTAGAGGGCTAATTTCGTGGCGACCACAAAAACATCGATACCTCTCATCGATGTTTTCGTAGCTTTCAGTAAAAACTAAGTGAAAATAGCGTTTTAGTTTATGTTTTAGTCATAGTCATTATAATTAGTGTACAAATCAAGTTTAAATCATTCCGGAGATGCCTGCAGTGCGCAAATATCGACGCGAGACAAGCGAAATCAGTTGCTGTCTGAAATATCTACTCTTCACAAGCAATGTGTTCATATTTGTGGCTGCTCTCATGGTTCTGTCCGTTGGCATCTGGGCTTGGAGCGAGAAAGACATGTTTCGCAACATTGCAAAGCTGAGTTTTATAGCCTTGGATCCGGCCTTTGTGTTGATTATACTGGGCGGAATCACCTTCCTTCTCGGCTTCATGGGCAGCGTGGGCGCACTGCGGGAAAATACTTGTCTCTTGGCGGCGGTGGGTACGCTTATTGTTTCCATCGAAACACAACTAATAATCTTATTGTCTCTCTGTAGTATGCCATTTTTCTGAGTATATTACTCATAGCTGAGATTGGCTTCTGTGCATTGGCATTTGTACTCAAGGACAAGGGCTGGGTAAGTCTCTCTATAATCAAGATACACTGATTTTAATGGTTTTCCCTACTCCAGATCAAAGACCAAGCTACTGAGGGGCTCAAAGCCTTCATACGGCATTATCGTGAGGATGCTGATCAGCAGAATCTCATTGATTGGATACAGGAGGACTGGCTGCAGTGTTGCGGCATCGACGGCCCAAAGGACTGGGACAGCAACAACTATTTCAATTGCTCGTCCATTGCCATTGGCAGTCGTGAGGCCTGCGGTGTGCCCTTCTCCTGTTGCCGTCGCCGGCCGCAAGAGCTCATCAAGAACAAGCAATGCGGCTATGATGTGCGCAAAGAGGGATATGTAAGTGGTTTTAGGTTTAGTTTTACACGTAATCATAATCCCATAATTAATCTGTGCAAGCAGCCTGTGGATAGGAATATACATGAGCGTGGCTGTTTGCGCGCTGGCGAGGATTGGCTGGAGGCACATCTAATAAGCGTGGCAGCGGCCTGCGTTGGCCTGCTGATGCTGCAGGTGCTCAAAGATCAGAATGTCCCTTCTTTTAGATTTTATTATATATGTTCTATTTTATTGCGTATTTAATTTGGCTTTCCTTTGATTTTTCGCTAGGCCATGGAGCTGTCCAAAATCATATATGAAAAGGGCTGCGTTCAGGCTGGCGAAGAATGGATGGAACATAATTTGATTATCATTTCAACGGCTGTCATTGTGGTCATGTTTTTCCAGGTTTTTATTTACCTTTTTTACTTTTTGTCTGTGTATTCGTGTTGTGATATAATTTTTTTGAATGTACATTTATTAATATTGTAATTTCCTTTGTAGATTTTGGGTATTTGTTTTGCACAGAATTTGCGTGCCGACATCTATTCGCAAAAATCGAAATGGCACTGACAAATGGCTCTCGCTGCACCCACAGCACTCTAGAGACAACTGAAAGGAGGAGAAGTATAACACCTCATACAAGGCAGAAGAGAAACACTACAAATACTCATCTACGCTTCGGTTAGTTAACTATATCTACTATAAATACCTTATACTATCTGCCCATATGTGTCTGTGCTCGTCTACACGAGTATGCCTATAGCTAGCTGTGTATGTGTCTAAAACTCAAACGCAAACGCATTCCGTCTTCGTGTGTGGGGACATTGACTAACTAATGAACAAAACATTAACTAGGTTGCCAAATTTTTTGCTGTTTTTACGTCGGCTTTCTCTTTGCCCAAAATCAACCGAAATGGTGAAAACAAAACAAGAAAACAAAAACCCAATGCAAAACATTTTGAATACATTTTCTATACATTTTTACAAATGAAAAGTAAACGAAAGAGGGAAGACATTTTTACTCGAAATGCAGCTGTGATATATTTTTAATGAATGTATAGAGAGAGACATAGAGAAAGAAAGAGAGATAGAGAAGAAAAAACAACAGAAATTATATGCAACACTTTCCAAACAACAAAAAAGGCAAAACCGAAAAACCGATAGAAAACGAAACTCATTCCTAAACTGAAAACAAAAGCTAAAACCTAGCACAAAATAACAACAAATATCTAACATGAATGCAACGCAATAATAATTATTTTTATATACACGAAAGAAAGACGCACAGATAGAAATATTGTAAGAAAAAAAAAACGCATACCATGTAGCTTGCTTTTCTCATTTCTAAAAAAGAGCTTAAAACTAACAGAAACAAACCAAACAAACAAGTAAGCTATATGTATATTTTTGCAAGAAAACACGAACTGAAACTTGATGTGAAACTCGAAAAACCCTCGTAATTTGTCTTGAGGATCAGTTTGTGGTTTATTTACTATAAAGCGCACACTTAACTTTTGTACTCAAAGACTCCTATAAAGGAGCACAAAATGCATTCGTTCTTGTACCTTATATGACAATTTATACTACACGAGTTGTGTTCGTAAATGATATAATTACTGACCCTGATTCTGAACTATTTATCTACTAAATATTTCCATTAATTATAAGCTCATTTATCCTACATAAGTATCCCCCAAACACTGCCCTGAACGAACAACCGATTAAATATTTATTAATTGCCTGCTGAAGATTCACTCCGTATATGTCCAAAACATTCCGAAAAGAAGTATTCAGTTATGGGTTGGTATCTTGCCAAATAATTGATTAAACTGAATGCCATGGAAACCATGATATTGCTTAAAAGAATCTCCTAATTTTGGAATGGATCTTCTTCCCGTACAGAGTCTCCCAATTATCTGAAAAAGTTCTCTCACCCAAAACATGAATTGATTTAATGCTCAATTTTTGCATAGAGAACTAGGAATCTCCCCATTTGCCAAACCCATTTGATAAAGCCCATTACCAATTAGGAATCTATCAAAATTTAAGCACAAGTATCAAAGTATACGTTAACAACAAAAAATAAGAGAATTACAATTACAAATAGGACGATAATGGTAAAGGAAAAAGTCAATTGAAAAACGAGCTGAAACTAAAATGCAAGTCAGTCAAGCAGCACATTAACGAAAACAATTTATTTAAATATAGAATTTATCAATTATAAATTTATAACAATAAGAATTAGCAAATATATATAAAAAATAAAGCTTAACAACGGTTATTGATGCAAATGATCAATCAACAAAAATATCTTCCAATTGCAATTAGTTTTGATTTTGTAATATAAGGGACATTTCTCTTTATTATTTAATCCCATAAAAGAATATATTTTTACAACTTACAAATCCAATTGGATTTGAGTGATTGAATATCATATTAGATGCACAACGGCTTTCCACTTCGTTCAAATAGAAGGATCTTTGATATAACTCTTGCTTAAATAATGAAAATAAAATATTTTCTAGGGCTCATCAAACCAATTATTCAAATGCTATAACTATAAGTATCTATCAGTAACATAATCAATTTAGGATCTCCCCTCATTGAATGTGTCACTTGAGCGGCACATCTCCAGACTGTCCGTCCAGTTGTGCACTTGCATCAAACTGCACCGCGGGCAGATCCTCACCACTTGCTGTCTTGTTCGCCCGTTGATACTCCAGAATGACCAAAGTGTTATCCCCCAGCTTGAGGATCTCATTGGGCACATAAAGTGTGACCTGGGGACCGGCCACTGGCCAGTATCGGCCCAGATTGAAGCCATTCACATAGGCCACACCCTTGCCCCAGCCAGCCATATTTAAGTAGGTGTCTCCCACCTCCTCCACCCTGACGGTGCCCGTGTATAGAACAGGTCCATTGCGCAGAATGCGTTGCCTGCCGAGGAATGCATCCAGTCTTTGCTCCCCGCTCTGTTTTCGCCAGTTCTCCACGGCCTCGTCTTCGAGGGGGAATGCAGTGCTCTTCCAGTTCTCCAGTGGCAAGTAGCCGCCGTTGTGCAGCTGGAGACTCACCTCACCAAAGATGCCCTTCGTGTCGTTGGAGATGTAGAAATTGACGCGACCCTGATTCTCCACCAGCAGCTGGAGCGTGCTGCCCCATCCTTTGCTCAGTGGGAGGGAGTATATTTGCGCCTCCCTGGACAGTGTGCCCACCAGCTCCTGATCCACAAAGACATGGGCACGATCGTTGATCTGATTAACCCTCAGGAGAGCCGGATCAAGGTCCATGCTAGGCAGTTGGGTCTCGTACAGCACCAGGCCGGAGTACAAATCGAGTTCCTCGAACGATTTTGGCTTTGTAGACTCCACGGGTTCGCCCTTGGCCAGTGCAGCACGTCCCTCGGCAGAGAGTAGGGCCAGTGCTGGAGTCAGCTCCACTTTGCCATATGCCAGTCGCTTGGCGGGACTCAGCGTAATCTCGGGCAATGGTAGAACTTCACCAATCACCTGCTTAACCAGATCATATTTGTTGGTCACGCCGCCGGCCTCGTCCATCACGGCATCGTAGTCATAGCTGGTGATATCCGCCGCATAGCCAATGCCTCCATCCAGATTGTAGTTGGCTCCGGCCGTGAAGCCAAAGTTGGTGCCGCCAAAGAACATGTACAGATTCACGCTAGCGTTGTAGCTCAGAATAGTCCTAAAAAGGGATAGAGTTCCCAGTTAGTTGGAATAATTTGGAATGGTAGCAACCAAAACGCACTTTAAGGCATCGGCCACCACTTGACCATCGCGTCGTTGATTCATCTCCTGCCAGTGGGTCAGCCAGCCTGGGTAGAATTCCGAATTTACCAGAGGACCCGTGGGCTGCAGTTTGCGCAGCATTGCCCAGATAGCGTCAATCTCGTGAACTGTTGGGTAAGACGATACGAGTGAAGATCAACCTAGGCGTCGAGGGATAACGCAACTCACTTCGATCAATGCCAAAGTCCGTGGTGGCAAACACATTATCGATCTTGCCGCAGCTCATGCGTTCGTTGGGTATGTCCGTCGTGAAGAGCAGCGCATTCCCCTGCACATACTTCTCCGTCTCATCGCGCAGCCAATTCAGATAGACTTTGTCGCATTCGTAGTCACCGTACTCATTCTCCACCTGCACCATGATGATCTTGCCACCATTGCCAATCAGAAAGTGCTGCAGGCGTGGCATCAACTCTGCATACCATTTGCCCACTTCGGCCATGTAATTTGCATCGCTGGTTCTCATTTTGATGTTTGGATATTTTCTGAACAGCCAGTGGGGCAGTCCACCCTAAAAGAGGCAGCATTAGAGTATTATTTGGTTGAAAAGATCCTCCTGTGTAGCCTTACATTGTCGCGCTCTGCACAGATATAGGGCCCTGGGCGCAGTATTATATAAAAGTCTTCCTCCTGGGCAATCTCTAGAAATTTCACCACATCCGCCATGCCTGCCCAGTTGTAGACACCATCGTGGGGATTGTGTAGCGACCATTCGACATAGCTAGGGGGGTGGAGCAAATGTAGAGATATAGTAGAAATGTAGCCCTAGTTATCCATAATGCTAGTAGTGCCCAGTACTAACGTATCTAATGCATTAAGGCCCGCTGCTCGCATGGTTCGCATGCGGCTACGCCAAGCGCCCTTAACTGCACGGAAATAATGAAACGATCCGGCGATATAGCGAAAGGGTTCATCATTCAGCAAGAATGTATTTCCCACATGATCTATAGTAAAACTACCACACTTTTGGCTGATTTTGCGCAGGCTTCTCTGTGACCAAAATAAACGCAACAAATTTCGAAATAATTTTTTATACATGACGTTAATGACAGATGTTGTGCCGCGTTTCAATGCGGCTCACAACGTTCTTCCTCGCTAATGCCGAAAGTGTGCTTCACCATTGGTAGCTTCTAAAGCACTTGTGAGTAATGTTTTTGTTTTGTGTAAGTTAACGACTACTCACGTATCCACTGCATTCAGACCCGCTGCTCTCATTGTGCGCAGACGACTCCTCCAGGCCTCGGGCACCGCACGGAAGTAATGGAAAGATCCGGCGACATAGCGAAATGGTTCACCATTCAGCACAAAATTGTTTGCCGCATGATCGATTGTGAACTTGGGCGGATCCTAACCAAGATATGCAAAGATGTGTTTCACCCACTTAATATTTTGTTTGTGTTTTGCTCACCTCACGTACTCCCTCGCTCTCACTCTCGCCACCGCCCAGTCCCACACAAAGGCCGACGGTGAGGGCGATCACCAAAATAATCACACAGCCGCTCATGGCCATTGTCAGCTTTCGAGTGCAGCGACAGCTCATGGCACCTCAAACGTAACTTTAAAGTTTAAATATACAAAAAAGCCTAGATCAACGCGAAAGCTTAAAGCTGACTTAAAGCAAACTTTGCTCTCTTTTCGTTTTTTGGGCACTGTGAAACGATCGACTGGTCTCCAGCTCTGACCAGGGCACAATGTCAAGCGATTTTCGAATGGGTTTTTGCATGTCCGTATGGCACTTTGTACAGCAGTCCACCCCGCACCGCACATCTATCCATATATATTTGTTGATAAAGCCTGTTATTTGCTCCCCACTTGAGGAGCTCTGATAATGCTGCACATTTTCGAGTAATCGTCATTTAAGTTTCCTCGTAATAATAACAGCCTCTAACGTCCAAGTGGTTTGCTTTCTCAAGTGTTTTGGGGTTTATGAAAGTATCCTATCGAATCTGCGCCTAATGCGGCAACTTAATCTACAAATTGTGTTTGTTTTCGTTCGGAATCTGGCTAATGCTGCAAGGTAATCTATACTGTTTTTTATGGAGTATTTTAGTGATTGTTTAAAGTGGGTTAATTTTGTTTTTGATGGGGTATTACCTACTCATCGTTTGGGTAAGTGTTTTAGGCCTTATTTCTCCTTTTTGTTTTCTATTAATATTAGAATATATTATTTTCCTTGTTAACTCCTTATTTGTTGTGGTTGGCTGTGGTTGCATGCTCTAAGTAAAATGAAGGAAAGTTTAAACAGTCCAACCAAATTGGTTTTTGAATTTAAAAACACACATTTTGGAGGTAAACTTTACAGACTGCAACTCGTGCTAAGTATATTCAGAAGTTTCCCATTGAATTCACTGTGTAATTTTAATAGTAGGGGGCTTTATATTGTAATGTTTTGTTATTGAATAGCATTGGAAATGATTTTTAAACTATCCAAAATAAAAGAACAAAAGATTCTATAATATTCCTATAAATTTAAGTTTAAATTATCTAAAATTCAAAGTTATAAGTGGCATAATTTAATCCTTTTCAAACCTGATATCCGAATGTTGAATGTCTTCATTCCGTTGTTTCCTCAATCCCACGCTGTAGAGGCTGTAAATTGCTCTTGAAAATAATCATAAAACTGTCAACAATGATTTAAAGTTTCTGGTACACATTTCCGAATTTTTTTCATAGAGATCGTAGCTCCAATTCCATAAGAATTTGAGTTCAGAAGTTCCATAAACGATTCTTTTTTAAACTTTCTATAAATAAATTGTCCACTTAATACCACGCTGTATGTAAACATTTAAGTTCAAGGCACTCCGAGACCAACACCCGATAATGATAATTATTCGCTTGAGAATTTCATAATATTTTCTGTATTTGCATTTGCATTTTATTTACTGCACTATCACTTATCAAAATTGCAAAAGAATTATACATTCCTAGTGGGGGTAGTTAAATATGTGTGTGTACATACATATGTGTATAAGATGTCTTTGATTAATGTATATTGTCCGCTCTATAGTTCAATAAGATTATTATTTAGTTGAATATAATTTAAGTACTAGACTTTGGTAGTGTGGGTGTTGTCAGAGTAGAAGATTTCTTGCCCTCTTGGAGAGAGTTGCTTGATAAATAACTCGTATATAGTATAGGTTCCTATTTTGATTCCTTTTCTTCCTTTCCGTCGTCGTATAGCTAGCGTTTCTTTTTGTTTTTGTTTTTGTTTTGTGGCTTAACTAAGGATTAATTAATAAATATTTGAACTGTAACATAAAGTGCTTCTTG